AATGATTGATCGAGAGATTATTTTTTGGACAAAGTTTGTTTTAATTATTTTAGTTAATTAATTATTTAATTAATTAAATTAAATTAAATGGCCAACGTTTTAATTAGTTAATTAACCGATTCAATTAATTAGTTAATTGACCCGACCCGACTCGGATCCATGCGCAACCCGTTTAATTTAAATCTTTCCCGTTTTATTTAAATTTCCCGCAGTGACTGTTCTGAAAGGTTGCAACTTTCAGAAACAGCCATAACCGTTTGAAAGGTTGCAACTTTCATGAATGGTCGTATGGATTCTGAAAGGATTGCAACCTTTCGGAATCAGTTCCTCTTGCCTATAAATACATTGATTCTTCAGATTTATTCCTAACGATTTTTTCTGATTTCTTCTTCTTCTTTTGCACAAAATTTCTTCATGTACTTTACTGCTGTTGAGTGGTTCGCTGACACCAGCGTTTTGGGTATCAATACACTGGTGATTGAGATCATTCTATCCTGGGAGGACTATTCCAAATCAAACCTCGGATACTAGAGGGGAATAATTTCCTTAAGGGGACACTGTGCATTCAGTGGGTTTGATCTTTTTCTGATTCTGTTTTTTTCCAGATTGTGGTACGTTTATTACAGATTTTAGTTTTGTCAATTAATTTCTGTTCATCTATTCTTACTGGTTTATTAAACTTTGGTTACTTCGTGTTTCTGCAAAGTTTATTAAAATCAGTAATTTTGATTTTTTATACACAGATTAATAACAATTCTGGCCTCAAACGCGAGTCTCCTTTGTAATGTTGCTCCTAAGTGTAGGTAATAGTAGATATCAAACTAATTTCCAGCATGAAGTATATTAGTAATAGCTAGCTCTTTATCATGCCAAAGATGTGGGTTTTTAAGCAGAGATCAAATGGTCATTTTCATATTTTCTTTACTTAGTTGAATAATACAGTATTAATTTACATTTGTTTATAATAATAATTCTCAAAAACTTGTGATCTATGAAACTAAAAGAGAGATGTATTTACTATTATATAGTTTATTTGCAAAATAATAATTCAATGTTTAACCAAATTAATTCACCCAATTCGAACCTATTTCAAACGCTCTTTGAAACTTGTTTATTTTTTGAGCTTTGTTTAATAACTCATCTAAAAACTGTTCGACGGAAAATACATTCCATCAAGCAAAATAGTTAAATGGAAAGTGATCTCATGCTTTTCTTGCCTTCTTTTAGGGCATCCATAAGAAGGTTCAAAACTTGTTATTAATTCTTATCTCTTCTTCAACATTCTATTCTTTCATTTTCCCTTCATCTATATATTGTTTTCACTACTATAAATATAAAGTTTATTTATAGATGGGGAGACCTCCTTGTTGTAATGATAAGGTACATAATAGAAAATGTAATTGGACAGAAGATGATGCTAACACATCTACATTTGTCTCAATCAAACATGGAATTGGTAATTGGGCAACCATGTCTAAGAAATCAGGTACAAAGTCGATGAAACTCGATCTGTAGGTGGGCGACCATGAGTTGTTGTCTCCTTATATGGTCTTGTATAATCTTTACATTATGATCTAACATTGGGGATTGAGTACTTATGCTCGCAATCCATTTTTAACATATTATTAAAGTAGGACCCATCAATGCTTTTGTGTTTCCCAATGTTGGCTATGATGTTATGTTATCCACACTTCAGTTGTCCTGATCTAGACATGTGAAACATGCTACATTGGTTGAGGGTATATGGTGTTGTTTTTTTTCATTTGATTATGGGCGATTTTGATCGCCTCATGAGTTAACTTTGAGTTAGTTAGGTTTAAGATTCATTTCATTAACAATTTGCCGAGTACTAAATTTCAAGATTTTTGTAAATGAATGCAATTTTTAACAGGATATGGGAGATGTGGGAGGAGTCAGAAGCAGAGATGGACCAATCGTCTTAAGCCTGATCTTAAACAGGGCAGCTTTACGCCTCAAGAAGAGGAACTGATCATTAAGCTTCATGCCACTATAGGAAGCAGGTGTGTACGCTCTGAATACTTCGAGCCTATTCATCTTAGCTAATTAAAACTAGTTGATAAGCATCGCATTGAAGTAATGAAACAATTTTTTTTTGAAGGTGTATTGACAAATATTGCGTTTAGCTTACAGTTTGACACTTTAAAATATTGTAGGTGGTCTATAATAGCACAACAACTAGCTGGGAGAACAGATAATGATGTGAAGAACTTGTGGAACACTAAGCTGAAAAAAAAGCTATCTGCAATGGGGATTGATCCTGTTACTCACAAGCCTTTCTCACAAATTCTCACTGACTATGGTAACATTGGTGGCTTCCCAAAAGCCAGAACACGTTTCGTGTCTCTTAACAGAGAGCTAAAAGGTGCATTTATGTCTAGACCAGAACAACTTCAACATTCTTTACAAAATTTCCAAAATTTTAACAGCCTTTGTGTGAAGCTGCCAAAAACAGAAGCTTCAGAAGAATGTTTCTTTAGCAACAATCAAGATTCCAGCAATATTAATCAGCCTCCTGTTGATCTGCTTTCGGAGTTACAAGCCATAAAATTTGTAACAGAGGCCTCAAATTACAATTCCCCAAAGGCAGTTTTCTCCCATCATCCAATTCCTATAACTGATTGCTCTACGTCTTCGCCTTTGTCATCTTCGTCTTCATCATCTGCATCTCATTCATTAGCTGAAAATCAAGTAAACTGGTGTGACTACCTTCTCGACGATGCATTTCTTCCATCAAATTTCAAAGATCAAGAGGACGAATTAACCGTAGAAGAAAAGTTAGTGTGTGGTGGAGCTCAGGATGGATCAAACAACGTGCCATCAACGAAGGATTTTGAAACCTCGTTATCTACAAGGGGCACATCATCGTCATCATTTGTCGAAGCCATGCTAGAATGTGAAAATGAAATGTTCATGAACTTCCCTTGCCTCTCTGAGGATCCCTTTTACTAGTGGCAATGCCACTAATTGATGGCCAAGAATTAGACTTAGCTTTGTTTTATGTCTCCAATAGCTAAGTTAATGCAATTTCTCTATTTGATATATTCCAATTTGGGAGTTGGGACTGGTCCAAACTGTTGCAGTGATACATTGTTGAATTGTGCTTGCCTAACTAGTGAACAAGAAAAGCATCTAAGTTTTTGTGTCATCTAATGAGTTTTTAGTAGATACAACCTCCTTTTAGTTTAACTTGTTACTTTTCGCTTCTCTAACACCATCATAAAAAGAAACAGCATTTGTTTCCGCTGCATTCTGTTTTTAAACTCTCCTGTCACATTGATTGCTAGACAAACAAGAGGTCACATCTACGTAAGTTTTGGTAGACAGAGTTATCTGGTGCCCTATTGAATACTACAGAGTACACCCGCACCATGGCTTAATTTTTGAATCTAGAAATGTGTTTATAACATCTCGAAATTTGTTATTTGTTCAAGATGTGCTGAGAAACAATTCTCCAATTCAAACGGATGTTGGGTTTATGGATTTTAATCTTACTCTACTTGTGGGACACAAAAAGTAAAATTTTGAAATTTGTCAACAACAGTATGTGAGTATGCTCTTGTGCAATGTATGGGCAACCCATGCTGCTCTTATTCTTACAAGAGTTGTTGCTGCACCTCCCATCCCTTTCATTCCATCCTCAGCTAACGTGGTATTTTTGTTTGCACATTCTGGTTGAGAACATAAGACTGGAGGAGTAATAAAAGATGTTACATGAAGTCGTTTGCACATTCTGCTATGAGGTCATCTCGTGTTCAAATCCCTATAAAAACAAAAACACTAGGTGATACATTCCATTTTGTTTTAGTCTTTGGTGGATAAAGGTTAGCTAATACTAATTATTGGTGGTGATGCTGGGAGGTCAGAGGTACAGATATACTGTAAAATTAGTTTAGGGATACGAAAACTGACACAGAAACCAGAAGTGATTCAAAATTGATTGAAAAAATTGGTCCATTGATGGTATGTAGGTGACATTCAATATACTCCCTTTCCCTTGTCCATAATTACTTGTCCACTTTTCCTTTTATAGTTATTTCTAATTAATTGTCTATTTTGACAAATCAAGAAAGGACAAAATAATTTTACCTATTATACCCTCAGTTAATTACTTTGAAAAATGTATAATTTCTTGAAAATCTTAAATTTTTAATTCATCAACTTCATAATTAATAGGGATAAAATGATAAACTCACTATGTTAATAATTACTTTTTTAATAGATACGTTAATTCAAAAATAGACAAATAATTAGAAACAGAGAGAGTATGACGGTAACAAAGCAAAAGAAAAGCTACTCACCTATATTCAAAATTTGCCAACTAGTGTTAGGTAGTTAGGCTGTGTTGACCAGAACAGACCACTCACGTTTTGTTGCTTTCTAGGATTGATGCAACGAATACATGATTTTGATGGATCATTATATATGACACACCCAACATTAAGGTTTGACTGTAAATGCCATCTAAATGACGGTTGCTCCGAGCAATCAGAGTAGGTTCATTTTAGAAATTTTATAATTCATTTCACATATTTTAAATTTAAAATTATAAAATTCTGTAAAAATAGGTCAAATAAATTAAAACGAAAAATATTATTTTTTTTGTTAAAAAAATAACTATTAATATAGTGACCAATCAACTTATGTTTCATCATTTTTTATTTGCAAAAATAATAATTTAGTTCTGCCAAAAGAAATAGCGATCAACATAGGTTGTGGTGCTGGTATAACATCCTTAACCAGAGATGTTAGCTCTAGTAATGAAGAAAATTTTGTTAGAAATGTCAATAGACACCGCATAATAAATAATAGTCCAACTAGGGAAGTCAACAATGTGCCTTATTTTTCTCCGCAAGCGGCGCACTTAACTTAAAGGGGGGGAAACAGATCTATAGCTCAACTATCACAGGTCCCAATCCAGTGAACACTTGCCCCCCACCCCTTCATATTTAGCACATTCTCCAATACAATAAATTACACTATTTCTCTCCCATTTTCACTCTTTCCTCTTCCATTTCTAGTTATCCCCAAAATTAGACCTTAGCTGCAGCTCCTGCAATGGATCCCACTCTCAAAAAGCAACCTAAACCTACTCCTTTCTCCGCCACCACAAACTCCATACCCCACCCCCCACCAGATCCCACCCCCACTATCCAAAACATCTCTTCTCACTTCTCCAAGCTTTATGCAAATCACAAAATCCTCAAATCTGGCCATAGACATCCTCCTCCTGTTGACACTCATTTACAGGCTAAAACTCTGGCTGCTGCTTCCTCTGCTTTTGATTCTTCATGCTCTGCTTTGACCAAGTCAAAAAGCCAACATGGGAGGAGATATGTGCAGAAGGATGTTGATAAAGCTATTGTCTTGCAAGAAAAAGGTGAAATCAAGAAAATACCCAATAAGGAGAAGGAGTTGAAGAAAGAGGTGGATGTGAAAAGGGCATTAGCTCTGTTATCCAAGGACCAAGATAGTGAGCAGTTGAAGGGGTTTCAACAAAGGCCATCTTTTTCCTTGTCTTTGAATGGTGGAGGCAGGGGGAAATCATTCTGTTGCTCACAGACTGAGTTAGCTGATTTCTTTTCTTGTAGTGGTGTGAAAGTTGTGTCTGTTGATATGCCACCCTTTATGCAGATTCATGCTGTGGATTTTGCTAGAAAAGCTCATGATAGCTTGGAAAAGTTCTCCTCTAAATCACTTGGATTTTCCCTAAAAAAGGTAAACACTTTAATGATTGTGCAATCTTTGGTGATTATGAGATTTGAGCTTTTCATTACTTTGTTTAAAATGTGTTTTTCTTGATTTTTAGGAGTTTGATGGGGTCTATGGACCAGCATGGCACTGTATAGTAGGGACCAGTTTTGGCTCTTTTGTCACACATTCAGTCGGTGGTTTCATATATTTCTCCATGGATCACAAGCTATATGTACTCCTTTTCAAGACTACTGTACAAAAAGCAGAATCAAGTTGAAATCTTGAGGTGAAATGTAATTCCTTGTAGCATAGGGAAATTTTTGGGAAAAAAAGTTTGCTATCTCTACTGCCTTTGTAGTTTTGTACATCAGCTTTGATTAAAAAAAAGAAGAGCAATGGTAGTTCTATAGTCCCTTTAACTGTGCCCTCTCTAAAGAGGGAGTGTAGTGTATTGATCATTGGCATATTTGAGTAACAAATTGTATACTGTAACATTTCGTCCTCTGGCTCAGAAAGTAGATAAAATTATTTAATGGTGGTGTCCATGATGGAATGATTGACAGTACTAGTAAATGGACCATCAATGGAAGTTAAGAGGGATAACTCTCTAGTTTTACCATACTGCAGAAAGATTTGGGTGTCTGAGTAGATGAACTGACTTTACTAACTTTAATTTTCATGAGTATCTTGTTAGTTCTGAAAAAGTTACTGAAAAGTTTCCACTTACCAATGAATGTGTTGGTACCCTTTGCGTGTTCAAAGCCCCAATTGATTCTTGATGTACAGGAATCCAAAGCCAAAGGGAAAGAAATGATTTTTTACAGGGGAGGGGTTGATCAGTTCCATTTACTACTGTTACTACTGTGTTCCCTGTTACTTGTAAGATAGAAATTGGAATTAGACATGTGAAATTCAAATTTCCTTTAGCTCATCCAAGTTGTGCATACTGGCTGATCTTCTTCTTGCATCAGCTGTATAAAAAATTTTATGTTGGACTGTCAGTGTATACCTATCATAGTTAGTAAGTAAGTCGTTTCCAAAATGGGCTAGTTGTTTTTTCGGTCAAGCAATAGGATTGTTATCTCACCAATCTCGGGATAACTTGTTCCCCTATCAAATAAGTTCTTGTACTTTTGAAAAAACATCAGCAACTCCAACTTATCTAGTTAACTAAAGGTTTCACTAGTACCAATTTTTCCAACAGAGTATTGTAAGTGTTAAAGTGATCTTGATAGCTTGGTCTTATCCTTATGTAGGAAATGTTGAATTGAATACTAATGATAGTGTCAAGATACAAGTTGGAAATGTTTTTTGAAAGAAATTTTTTGGTAAATGACCAAAGAAAATGGATATTAGAATATTCAAGTAAATAAAACTTGTCTCAAAGCTTACCATAACATTAAGCAAGAACTCAAACTACCAAAGGCAATGGGCAAATAGACTATCTATTAGCAATCAAAGTTTACACACACGAGGACATATTGAATCAGCCTCTTAGGGCAATAGTTGAAGATTGCAAATACTTGTTGAAAGCCATCAAGACGGATATCACATACAGCTGGAGAGAGGCAAACAAATGTACGAACTTTTTGGCAAATAAAAATCATAAATATGTTTGTAAGCAATGACGCCGATTAAAGAAAGAGTTTTTGCTCTTGGATTATCTAAGCAATGTAGCTTATGAAAGATGTTAGCACTTTTATTTAGTCTTTTCCAATGCACCAAAATACTCCCTCTGTCCTTAATTTCTTATCCACTTTTCCTTTTATAGTTGTCCCTAATTACTTGTTCATTTTCACATTTTATAGTTGTCTCTTAATTACTTGTTCATTTTGACAAATCAAGAAAGAACAATTTTTTATATATATATATTATACCCTCAATTAATTACTTTGAAAAGGTAGAACTTTTTGAAAATCTTAAATTTTTAATTCATTCACTTCATAATTAATAGGGGTAAAATGGTAAACTCACTATGTCAATAATTACTTTCTTAATAGGTGTGTTAATTCAAAAGTGGACAAGTAATTAGGGACAGAGAGAGTAAGAAAAAAGAAAGATTGGAACAACCTTTGTCATAATCACTTCTGACAAAATTAAATATGTCTAAAATAGATGTATGAACAAAGCGTCGCTTTGGCCGAGTGGTTAAGGCGTGTGCCTGCTAAGTACATGGGGTTTCCCCGCGAGAGTTCGAATCTCTCAGGCGACGAATATTTTTTTTAATTATTTTTTTAATTATTTTTTGATGGCCTATCAAGAAATAGCCTTTCTACACACCAAGCAATAGCTAAATCGTTGTCTTTTTTCTCAAATAAACAAGTAATTTTCTCACTCATTTTTCAATTAATATTAGGTTTCTGAAAACAATTTATGGAAAATTGATAATAATGTTAAGAAACTTGATAATGATTTGATAAAAAGTTAGTATGAAAATTAAGACTAATGATTTTATAGCTGAATGTTGGTTGGAACAATTGTATGTGTACAATATGTATACCCTGGATTGCTATGTATAATACAATTATAAATAACCATTTAATTTTAAAAAAAAAACTTTTTTCTCTAATCAAACATCACAAAATAACTTAATAATTTCCAGTAGACGACCAATCCCACAATAAGAATAAAAATGGGCTAAATTTGAAATGAGAAAGGGATATGATTTTCAGCTTTAACGTTTTGTAGAACAGCAAATTCAATGTCATTGAAAGATGTTTATAATTCTTTGGGTTAATGGTAATTTAAAACATGCATTTTTACTGGCGGAGCCATAATTTTTCTAAGTGATTCAAAATATAGAAAAGTAATTGCAGGAAAAGTGGAGAGAATTTAACACTATATGTAAAAAATAATTTGATAGTGTTGGCTTTAAACCAACCACATTGACCCGGGTTACGAAAAACATAATAGGTACTCCTTCCGTTCACTTTTACTTGTCACTTATTCCTAAAATTAATTTTCATTTTTACTTGTTATTTTTTACATACATCAAGAAAAGACAATTATTATTTTTCCATATTTTACTCTTAGCATTAAATACTGCTATTCTCCAAATCATTTTCCAAGAGTTAATATTAAACATCAATTAATCAGGATAGTGTGGTAAATACCTATATCAATAATTGTTTTTAATGGGTGTATCAAGTCAAATAGTGACAAGTAAAAATGAGCAGAGAGTAATATTTTTTTTTACCTATTTAAAAAGTTATTTTGGCAAATGATGAGCGTAGGAAAAAAATTGACTTAGAAATAATAATAATTAGGTAATATAGAAATAAATAAAGGCCCGCAAAGACATGGTTGAGTGGTTGAGAGGTGAGTTTGTGGGAGACCTGAATTCAACTTCTGTCTGGCGTTTGCTACTCAATCATGAGCTTGTCGCATGAGACTTATCTAATACGATTTACATTTTCTGTGTGATTTGTGAGCTATTGCACAGTGAGTAGATCAATGCTCACCTCAAGAACAAAGATTGTAAATTTCTTGAGGGTTCCAAAGAAAATAAATAGAGGAAGTAAAAAAAGGGATCTCATAGCTAGACATGAAAATTTGATTTTTTTTGCTTAGAAATTAGACCTTATAAATTATTATTAATTAATTCTAAGAATGAATACTTGAATGAAGCACAAGGTGTTGTGGTGGAATAAATAAGATCTTATATATGTATTATGTAGTGGATATATATATTTAAAATAAACGAGCACCGAAAGGAGCATAAAATTGAGAATGTCAATCCCAAGCAACTAAATTTCTATTTTTGCTAATTTTCTCGATAAGACATAATCTTAACAAAAATATAATTTAAATGTTGATTTGATCGCTTCTTCATCGTTAATCCACGTTCACATCGGACCTCGCTTTGCAACGAGGGAAGGTCAGCATCAAGATTAAAAATTTTTTGAGGTTTTAAACTTTTTTTGAAGGTCAGCAAGTCACTTTGTGACTTATGTCTTGCTTAATTTAGAAACTAGTACGTAATTAAAATGCGTGTCCAATTCGGCTTGAAAACCTTTAGAATTGTGATTTAAAAAAATGTTACTTTATCATGCACTAATAATTGTACCTCATTTTCAGCAAGAGAAGTTCGATTTTGAAAATTTTAAAATAAATTAAAGCATATTGAGTAAAAATAAGAAATAATATTCTTTTCGTCAATTTTAACTTGTCCAATATTGATTTTACAATTGACACATTTGAGGATCAATAAATATAATAATAATTTTATCATATCTATAGTTAACTAATAAGAGTAATTTAGAAACTTGACTTAACTCTTTATTTTTAGTTAAGTGGAGAAGTAAAAGTGGACGAGCAGAGGTGGAGCCATGATTAAGAGTTTGAGGGTTTTAAATTTCCTTCAGAACGATAAATCTATTTTGTTAGGATTTTACAAATTAATATACATATATATTTAATTAATTTTCTAGTACAAATATAGAGTCTACGGAAAAGTTACTGGGTACGTCCGAATCTACGAACTACCACCTACCTCCACCTCTGTGGACGAGTAAGTAATAATTTACCCGTGACTACATTTGACTGTCATTAAGTTGATGCCAGTGCCACCAAATTATTAACGTACCATATATGGAAATTAAAAAGAGTCATATGATGAACATACGAATTAGCCCATCCATAAATATAATATATACAGCCAATGAAACTTCGACATTATAAAAAGCATATTGGAAAGATGAACAAATCAATTCCCATCGATCAAAGTTTTGTTCCACGATTTTATAATGTTCCATATTCCAATCTTGATGTAACAGTGGTTAAAAAAAATGAACGTACGAAACGAACATTATATTATAAACACATTAAAAATATACTCTAATAATAAGATGAATTTTAGCATATGTGTCACTTTCGAATTGGGTGAAGGACGATAAGCTGATGACATGATGATATAAATAGTTACAAATAAGCCGTAAAAAATCACTATACCAAATCCTTTGGTTTAGAGCACATTTTAAATACCCCAAGAGAAAAGTAGTACAAAGGAATTTGGGAAGGAGTAAGTCACTTTCATGCATGACGACCCAAACATACCGCGTTCGGAATGGATGATATTCCTCCATTCTTATTCAAAGATAAGAAACACTTCGATGCCCTTTATAGATCCTATATTATAATATGGATATATTGGACTAGACGTAGATTCAGAATTTTGAAGTTTATGATATTTGCAAGGACTTCAAGTTAATATATACTATAATAATAATTGTACCCATGATCAAATATTTACTTGCAACGTCCAAGCAAAACTATTGAATTTACATAAATTCATAATCGATCCTCTGAGTTGGACCAACTATGAATACCAAGCACCAGATAATTATATCGAAAAGGAAAAAACCTACTTGAAAATTGGGAATAGTCATATATATATATATATATATAAAAAAAAAATGTAGAGAAGGAAGTATCAAAGGCACATGTAAGTAATACTATGTTAAGTAAAGTTCAAAGTGAACTTTCGAGTGAGTTGTTTTTTGCTTGACTTTGAAGTGTGTGGGTAAGCAAGAAAAATTAGGCAAAAGAGAGAAACAGAATTCTACTTACATACTTAAAAGAGGGAGGTTAGGCCAATTTGATGAATCATGAAAGCTTCTTGCAACTCTAATTGCTAAGACAAATTAGGGTTTTGTATTAATCATACATATGTGGCCCCAAACTAATCCATCTATTTAATACCAAACTATATGATTGATTTTTCACGCATATTTATCATTAATTATCCAAACCTATTAAGACTACTTGGTGTTTGTTTTTGTTAACTAACACATGCACTTTAGTGACGCTATATTCTTTTATTTGAGGAAAAGGTAGGCATGTGGTCGCTCGTCAAATATAATTATAACAAATTTATAAATTCTAAAATTTTGATCGTCTCTAATTAGAGATAAAAAACTACAGTATAATTGTAAACACTTCTATTAGGATGAGTGAGGGTAAGGAAAAAGGAGGACAAATTTACTATTTGTATTGATATAATAAATATTTACATAAATCGTTAATTTATTGATTTGGTTAGACTTTTATTTAATTTACTTTTAATGTTTTCAAATCAAATATAACCGGTTTTTATAACTTGAATGACCTTTCTATTCATCATCGTTATCTTTTCAACTAGAATTTTTCATGATATAGTACTAAACTTGAATCAACTTGTGTGGAAATTTTTTAGATATACGAAAAACAAAATTTATGGTTTAAATTAAACTTGAATAAATTAGAATTTGTTAGGCTTTGTGTTGTACTTACTTTTTCTTTCCTATTTTGGAGTTTCAAAATTCAAACCAAACCAGCAAATTCTATGGGATGCCATCCTGGCCTAAGTTTTAATAATTGTGTGTACTTTATCCTTTCTACTAACAAATTATTGGTGTGTCTCTAGCCTTGATCCTATTAATTAAATTACATAAGAAAGACATTAAAAAAATACACAAGTTAAACTAATGATTTGGAGAAGTACGAATTTCTTGAATTCTTTATATGATTTGAATAATTTTCATGTTTTGAATCATTGATTAATTTAACATGTTATCAAAGTCATATATCCATTTTATTAGTGTAGTTTAAATGTAATAAGCTTCATTTTATGAAATTTACAATTCATATGAAACAATTATTAAAAATTAAAAAAAATATTTATTACTCAATCGTTAATATAATTATCTCAGTGAAATACTCTTAGGGATCAAATTAAAGTTGAATTTAATATAGTAATATACGGAGCATGCACATCTGTAAATCACGACGCCATTATTATATGACTGCTTAATCTGCGATTTGTAAGGCGTGTGATCCCAAAAATAATCCAGATTAATAATACGTTGATCCCCACGCGCCCATTATTAATCACTCTAATCTCCTTAATCCTAAACTTAAAAAATACTCCGCGAAAATCACGTGTCTCCCTATAAATGCGAGTACACAACACAGCATAAACCAGCGATTTGTTTTCATTTCTCATCTCGACAAAACCTTTTAGATCCTCCCACAATACCTCCCCACTCTCTGTTTTTTTTTTGTTTTTTTATTTATAACTTAATTTAAAATTTCTTCTAAATTATTTGATTTCAAACACGAACATAAGAGAAATAATCATAAATGTTTCGTCTTAATTTAATTTAATTTGATTTCAACACGAATCATAAATGCTTGTGTGAAAGTGAAGTTAATTTTTTTGCTAAATATTAAAAAGATTGAGTGATATTAATTGCGAGAGGGAGTACTAAAGTGCGCCTGGGGTTACAGTGCGCATCCTAATCTTCATCTTCTTCCCTCTCTACCTCACATCACAGTAGTCTCTGTCTCTCTCTCTCTCTATGGCTTTCACTTTCACTTTCACTTTCACTCTATAATAATAAATAAACCCAAACATTTTCAAACCATACTCACTTTACACTTCTCTATTCCCTCCATAATCACTTAGGTTTTTTTTTTTTTTTTCCATTTCACTCATTTAGTGTTAAATAAAATTCACACTAATCCTTCTTATTTATGGTTTGTATATAATTGTGAATTGTTCAAAAATGGATCCACCTATTATTAACGAAGGTTCATTCTCGGCGGCGAATCCTTCTTCTTACACCTTGGCTGAGATTTGGCCGTTTGCCGCAGCAGCAAATGGTGGAGGAAACGGTGAACTTGGTGGAGGAGGACTGGGACTCAGAATGAGTAGCTTTACGGGTTTATTAGAAGCGGCTGCGAACTCCATTAATGAATCTACTCTGACGGAGCAGAGTGGAAGAAGCGGCGGAGGCGGAGGAGCTGCTGGTGGTAGTGGTGGAGGTAATGTTGGTGTAAGGAAGAGGGATATGAATTCGGAGGATGATTTTTCTAAGTTTGTCTCTACTAGTGATGCTAATGATTTGGTAATTATACTACTTACTTTTTTTTTATTCCTTAAGTGGATAGATTACTGTTGATTTGACGTTGGAAGTTGTTGAATTAGTATCACGTTGCTACCTAATCATTTAAAATTTTTCGTTGAATTGAGCTACTTTTACATGTTAATTATGTAATTTGTTCTCTTACTTGTTGTGTATAAACCCGATTCATTCATCCTAATTGGTGTCGATGTCAAATCAAACATGTACTAACTAAATCCTGGAGGTGTAAGTTCATGATGTATGTGCTAATTTGTGAACAATTTTTATTCGGATCAACTTTAGATTTCATAACTCTGCTTCTGAGTCTTCAGTTGACGAATTCTTATCTTGATACAGTTTTCAGATTTAATGAAGCAACTTATTGATATTCATATTAATTTGAATTATGATCAGGATGGTTCAGTTGCTAAACGTTTGAAAGCATCCCAATCTAAAGAAGAAAATGGTGCTTCAAAGGTAGAAGCAGAATCAAGTTCCCATACGGCTAACAAGGGGACTGAACAAAGTAGTAAACCTGAGCCACCTAAGGATTACATCCACGTAAGGGCAAGAAGGGGTCAAGCTACTGATAGCCACAGTCTAGCAGAGAGGGTAACATCTTCTCCGAACTTCCCTAACTTTTAATGGTGCAAATATTTCTTGACAGTGGCTGAGCAGAATCTTAATTTATCAGGCCAGGAGAGAAAAGATCAGCGAGAGGATGAAAATTCTGCAAGATTTGGTTCCTGGATGTAATAAGGTCAGTAATCTTTTTGAAGTTATACTAGTGTCTGCCTTGAGCTTATGGCTAGTGGTGGATATTATAGAAGGGTGACATTTTTAATATATCTACAGAGGGGAACCCCATCAATATTTTGTGTTCTGTGTTAAGATTGAATGCATGTTTCATGTACAATTTGCATTTTCTGCTAGATTTAGTTTGCAACTTTCTTACAGGTTATCGGAAAAGCACTTGTTCTTGACGAAATAATAAATTATATCCAGTCACTACAGCGTCAAGTTGAGGTAGTTCCTCATCTTCTCTGTATTAAAGTTGTCCTTTTTATCAACTCAAGTCATAACCTCATCCACTCTGCTTTGCTTGAACTTTCCAGTTCTTGTCCATGAAGCTTGAAGCAGTCAATTCAAGGATGAACCACCCTATAGAAACCTATCCTTCAAAAGATGTAAGTTATTTGGTGTTTTTTATGATAATTTTTCCTTATCTAAGAAACCTGGTAGATGGAATCTGATTTATGTTGATCTAAAACACAGTATGTTCCAGCCTTCAAATTTCGGAGTTGATTATTGATTGAAAGATAAAAATTTGCTGGAGGTTCTTTTATCTGATTTTTTGCTTAATTTAGATATTGTAGAGTTGTTAGGGGAGATTGAGATGATAAATACCAGAACCAAAACTTTTGACAGTGGTAGATGTGTTTCGCTGTGCTCTTTTGTATATCATATTTGTTCCTTGCTGCAGTTGAAAATCTCTATCACCCAAAGACTGGACCTAGAAGTTTAAGAAGTTTCAAGCACCATGATTATGAGAAATTATGTGATAGTGTTTCTCAAAAAGAAATAATTAAAAAAAGAGAAATTATGTGAAAGTCAAATAAAAAGTTATTGAATTAGTTGATATTGTTATCTTCCTTAAGCATCTGAAGAGTGCTTGACCTCTATGCAACCATATTTCTCGAAAGAAATATGATGCGCTCTCTCTGGTCCATGTGTGGAAACAAGGAAAGATTGTGCTCTCTTTTGATATGGACCTTTTTCATGTACCAATTTGCTATTAAACTGGTCCTATTCAGCTATCTTGGGGTTGTGTCAACAGGAAGATTCATGCATTAGTGTCTGGAGCATTCTACGTCCAATTACATTTCTAAGGAAGCTTGTACTTTAGATTAAGGTTCATCCGATACAAAGTTCCACTTCTTTGTTGATTGGATAACAGCTGAGATTTTTCTGTGGATTGCATATGGTATCTGTTCGCATAGTTGAGTTTCTGATAAATGTGCCTCGACCACTTTTTCTTGTCCATGTGTTCTTTTTGGGGCGGGGGGAATCGGTCTTGAAGTTCATCACCATTTACAATTCTTTTATTACCCAATCCTGCATTCAGAGTGATGATGTTTACGGATAAGTATTGAAAGTGAAGTATTAGCTTTTTGCAGCATTGCTAGATCTGCACTTTACCATGTGAAATTAAATGATGTAGTAATATTTAGGACAGATGTAGACATTTTCCAATAGGCTTCCATGCCATCTGGCTCCACAATAAAGTCTATGACGTACTTACTACTCTACTTCTTTTGCCCCACTTTCCAATTCCCAACTACTCTATTCCTCTCAATCTTTTGTTTTGTTATGTATGATTTTATTATTTTGAGATTGACTACATGATTTACTCCTCAACCACGATCTGCTGTACTTGTGTGACCTTATGCGCGCACCATCTTGAACTACATAACAAAACCAACTGAACTTGTACTTAATGTTTTCATTCATGCATCAACACTAGACTCTATTTATCTTGACTGTATTTTCATTATGAAGTAAATCTCTAAAATACTCATATTCCTTGCAGTGCTTGATTCTTTTCATGTTTTGGTAAGTATAATTTGGGTGGAAAGCTTCTCACCACTTTATTGATTTCGTGGGTCCTCTACTTCTCTTTCAGCTAGCACCATCAGCTTTTGATACCACTGGAATGATTTTCGGCACTCAAGCACCGAGAGAATATGCTCAAGGGACACAATCCGAGTGGCTCCATATGCAGGTTGGCAACAGCTTTGACAGAGCAACATGACAGATACCCTAATGAATTGGAACATAGATTATTCAGAAACATTAGCCTCCCACAATTCATCATGATGTCTTTTAGAGAACCTTGGTATTCAGAAGCATTCTTAAATGTGTAATCATAATCATTTCCAGTAGAATTGTCTGTATTATCGTTGTATGATCAATGTCGTCTAACTCAAGTGTACTTGTAATATGTTTGTATTGATATAAGAAATAGACTAAGCAAACTTTCTCAGAATATAATCTTTGCTCAAATAACAGAAATTTCTAATTTCCATATTAGTCTTGAACTTTGAAGCCGTTAAGTAGTTGTATTTGTAAAAATTGCAGAGGTTTGGCAGGTAGCAGAACACGATTCTTCAACTTTATTTATAGCAGTGGGCCTGTAGTAGCCAAACTACTACCCAGTTAGAGAGATCTAAAACTCAATGGGTCTACAACACTTTTAGCTTCACTAGGAAATGTTTCAGTCAGTTTAGCAATTAATAATGGGATTCAGGTATTAGTCTATTCTGATTTTCTATCGTCCTTTTTTTTAAAAAAATTATTTGCTCTAGGCTCTACGTAATGTGCAAGTGTTAAGGCATTTGCATTGTCTCCGAGATAAGTTGATGATTCATATACTCGTCTCCAACTTGTTTGGTAGTTGTTGTTGCTTTGTTACGAATGGATTATGGAGAACTCTAAAAGTTGATCAAACTTAATGGAACACAATTGCACAAACAAACCATTTCTACCTGAAATTGAAAGTAAAAAAGACTACACATCTATGTTACAATATTGTAGTCCTTGTAGCATAAAGACTCAATTGCATGTTAAGTAGCACTATAACAATTGTTATGAGAGAGACTAAAACCTAACTGATTTTTTTTTCTTCAAAAAGTACTTTTTAAAAAAAAAAGTTGTTCAGACAAACTTTTTGGACAAAATAAGTGTTGTTATGGAGTAATAAAAGTTGTTTTTCAGAAGCTTTTCTTGAACACAATTTTAGAAGCTAAAATATATGTTTTAATTTTATTGGTCAAACACAAATGGCTAAGTATTTATTTAAAAATAAAAATAAAAAAAATTTGGAAAAACTGACAGCTGTGGGATTTGAACCCACGCCCTTTCGGACCAGAGCCTAAATCTGGCGCCTTAGACCACTCGGCCAAACTGTCACATGTTTAAATATTCTCTATTAAACTAAATTAAACAATGAACAACCCATAATATATATCTTCACCAATATGACTCTTATTTGATGAGTAACTGCAAAGAACAGAATGATCTGAGTAACCAAATCAACACGTCCATATGAAAAATCAAGAATTGTTGTTGTATTATTGGTTATTACACAATACACACCTGGATAATCTATGTACCAGATGAAAATTTAGACAAATACACAAGTATACCTGAGAAGACAAATTTATGTTTTAGGCTTTTATTTTCCATTCTGTTTTATTCAATTGTTAATAGTTTATGGCACCAAGTTTTGCTTTGATACCATCAATAACACTTGCATCAATTTTGAAGGCCTTAGTCAACACCTCATCAGGAATTGGTGGCTTTGAAGTAAATAGTGTAGTTGGTAGAACCACTGCTCCTGGCAAATGACTGTTAAAAGCTGTGATTGTCATTGCCTTCTCCTTTCCAACATTCATTTGGAAATGCACTAGTCCTCGGGGTATCACGAACATTTCCCCTGCAGTCAATACTTTGGAATATAACACGTTCTTTGTTGTTAGGAATCCAACGTAGAGTTTCCCTTTAATGACTACTCCGGACTCAGTTGCACGAGGGTGTGAATGAGGTGGATTTAGCCCTCCTGGGGCAAAGTCAACTCGATTCATCGAGAGACCTAGTGTGTTTAACCCTGGGAAAGCAAGAACGTTTCCCACGGTTGCACTGAATCCAAATGCATTTTCAGTGTTTCCCTCATTGGTTAGGCCATCAAAGAAGAAGTCATCTGAAGTAACTTGGGAAGCAGGCTTGCAAGGAAAGCCGTTAAGAGATGTTGTTGATGTATCGTTCAGAATTCCCACGCAGAAATCCTGCAGGGGATCAGGATCAGCACAATGAGAAGGAAATGGTAAGACTATCAGAATAACCAACAAGAACATCACGCGAATAGCCATGGAATTATCAAACTTGAAATTTAAAGAATAGTGTACGACAATGTACTAATGGCACAGTAGTTAAAGGGCTATTTAATTTATTACTCAAGCCAGCCTTGGTGACATTTCATCAGCAAGAAAGCAACATGCTAAAATCATGTCATATATACATAAAGAAAAGAAATTTAGATGGCTTTTTGACAATAGAAAAGTGCAATGTCTCAACTTCAGGAAATAGTCAATCAACTTGTTAGTTAATTTAACTTGGAGATTACGACCTCTGTGAATTATTGTACTACCATTTGTGAAAGCTATGATTCGTTCAACTCATTCTAATCAGGTAGTTATTCATCCTAGCCCTTCCTATGGTACAACATGCCCGTAGAGACTTCAGTCAAGACTCTGTTATGGTCAGGGGGACTCGTATCGTAAGAGGGTCAAGTGAAACCTACAAGGCAAGAGAAGGACTGACAGACTTCTAGGCTGACATGCTTTTGAATATGGAGTACACCGCACATATAACACCTTAAGTGAATACCACATCGAACTGTGAGAGAATGATGAAGAGTTTTACAAGGGCGTAGCCCAAAAGACAAATTCATTAAGTTTGTTAGGACAAAGCTGACAATACGTGTCATGTGTTTGGATTGTAATAGGTCATGGAAAAAAAAGGGAAAATATTGAAGAATACTCCATCAATTACCTTCCATCTCAAACATGGAAACACAACCACATTTTCTGCACTGAGCCATCAGTCACTATCTTCATATGTGGAGTTGTTAGAAGTTTATTCTTTCAGTTGAGTTACTAATAGTGATGTTAATTTCCAGATATACTAATAATTATGTCATTTCTTGTTCACTTGAACACTTTATCAGCAACTTTTGACCTTGTAATTGCTGAAATAGATAGGAAAGCTGACTTCTTGGATCTGTAACAACACACTTTGATGCCCAAATGAACATCATTGATGATTGATTAGGTTATTTTAATTATACATCTAAATAAAGCTTTATTATTCAAGGACTTGTTCCATAATGTACAGAGAAACACATATAAATACTCAAAGATCAAATGAAGAAAAGATCATTTCAACTAAACTAACCCCTTTTCTTTTCTCTGCGGGATATTTTTGTTAAATAGTCATGACATTATCATCTAAAATTCAAAGACTGGAAAAAGTCGTTTACTAGCTTGATATTGAATATGATCTTAATCAATTTTATTGGGATGATTACGTTGGATATTACTTTTCCATAACTTAATTAGAATACTCCATGCTGCATATAAAAAAAATTCACCTCTACTGTTGAATAGCATCCAATACTAGAGGTGATAGGACTATATAGAGCCAACAAAATGCTAAGAGACTGCACAAAGGCTTGAGAGAATCCCATTAATGCGCTTAAGCTTATTTGATTCGAAAAGATGCATTCTTGTTCAAAAATATTAACCATATCCAACTATCAATTGTATCTAGTATGTCATGTATTTCAAAAATTTATGAAGAAACTGATATGTATACTTGCAACTTTATCCACTAATGTGAACGAAACATTACTCACACCCGGTGTAAACATGAATCATGAGTTTCTGATATGAGTAATCGTAAATGAAGAGAATGATCTGATTACCCAAATTGACACTTACGAATGAATAAATTAAGAATTCTTGTTGCCCTTCTGCATTATTGATTATTACACAATACATACCTGGATATCTATGTACCAGATTAAAGTTTGGACAAATACACTAATAAACCTGACAACACAAAATTATGTTCTAGGCTTTTATTTTCCATTCTGTCTTTCAGCTGTTATACTTTTAAGAACCAAATTTGGATTTGATGTCATCAATGACACTAGCTTCAACCTGAAAGGCCTTAGTCAACACATCATTAGGAATTGGTGGCACAGAAGCAAATAGTGTAGTTGGAAGGACTACTGCCCCTGGCAAATGACTGTTAAAAGCTGTGATTGTCATTGCCTTCTCCTTCCCAACATTCATTTGGAAATGCACAAGCCCTCGTGGCACCACGAACATCTCCCCTACAGTCAATACTTTGGAATATAACACGTTGTTTGTTGTCAGGAATCCAACGTAGAGTTTCCCTTTAATAACTACCCCGGTCTCAGTTGCACGAGGATGTGAATGTGGTGGATTTAGCCCTCCTGGGGCGAAATCAACTCTATTCATTGAGAGACCTAGCGTGTTCAACCCTGGGAAAGCAAGAACGTTTCCCACAGTTGCAGTGAATCCAAATACATTGTCAGTGTTTCCCTCTTTGGTTAGGCCATCAAAGAAGAAGTCATCTGAAGTAACTTGGGAAGCAGGCTTGCAAGGAAAACCGTTAATAGATGTTGATGTATCGTTCAGAATTCCAACACAGAAATCCTGTAGGGGATCAGGATCAGCACAATGAGAAGGAAAAGGTAAGACTACCAGAATAAGCAACAAGAACGTCACACGAATAGCCATTGAATGATCAAACTTGAAATTTAAAGAATAGTGTGTGACAATGTACTAATGACATAGTAGTTCAAGGGCTATTTATTTGTCAAGCTAGCCTTGGTGACATTTCATCTTCAAGAAAGCAACATGCTAAAATCAAATCATAAAGAAAGGAAATTTAGCTGAGGTTAGTTAGCCTTTTTGACAATAGAAAAATGCAATGTCTCAACTTCATCAGGAAATAGTCAATCAACTTATAGTAAATTTAACTCGGGGATTACGACCTCTATGGATTATTTTACCATTCGTCAAAGCTACGAACCGTTCAACTCATTTCTTATCAGGTAGTTCTTCATCCTAGCCCTTCCTATGGTACAACAACTCAATAGAGACTTCTGTCAAGACCCTGCTATGGTCAGGGGGGCTCGTATTGAAAGAGGGTCAAGTGACACCTACAGGTCAAGAGAAGGACTGACAGACTTCTAGGCTGACATGCTTCTGAATATGGAGTACACCGTACACATAACACCTTAGGCGAATACCACATCCAAATGTGAGAAAAGTGAAGGGTTTTACAAGGGCATAGCCCAAAAGATAAATCTGTATAGTCTGTTGGGTCAAAGCGGACAATACGTGTAATGTGCTTAAGTTGTGATAGGTCACGAAGAAAAAAGGGAAAATATTGATCAATTACCTTCCATCTCAAACATTTAGCTGAAAGTGTCCAAATCCTATTGGAATCACAACCACATTTTCTACAGTGAGATTGACAAGTCCATCATGTCATGCCATCAGTCACTTTCTTCATATGTGAATTGTCAAAAGTTTATTTTTTCAATTGAGCTAGCCTTGTTAATTTAGTTTCCAGATATAATTATGTCATTACTTGAATACTTTATCAGCAGGTTTTGACCATCTAACTGCTGGAATAGATAGGAAAGTTGACTTCTTGGACCTTCATGCTCAAATGAACATCATTGATTAGGTCATTTTAGTTATACATACATCTAAATAAAGTTTTATCATACAAGGACTTGTTCCATAATGTACAGAGAAACACATGTAAATACTCAAGATCAAATTAAGAAAAGATCAACCCAGCTAAACTAACCTCTTTGGCCTTTTCTTTTAGCTTGACTATTAGTAGAACAAAAAAAAAAAAAAAAAATCAAATTGGAGGAAACTGGAGTAGTTGAACCTACCGGTGCGCAATATTTTTGTTAAATAGGCTTTGACATGGTCAACTAAAATTCTCAATCTGGAAAAAGTCGTTTATTAGCTTGACATTGATATGATCCTAATCATTTTTTATTGGGATGATACGTCCATGTTCGTTGGATATTACTTTTTCATAACGTAATTAGAATACTTCATGCTGCATATAAATGACCGTCAATAGTACCTTCGAAAATCTATTGAATTTACGAAACCATACATGAATTTAGTCAAGTGTTTGGTTGGTAATATTCAGATAAAAGATGTAAAGATACTAAAAATACAGTACTATTTTGGAACTAGATAAACTCAACTTTTTTCAACTCCAGTGTTATATAGCATTCAAGTCAATTGAGGATTTTTTACGTTGTGTTAACGATAACGATATTAACAATAGTATATTTTCCTTGGTATTGCATAGTATGAACTATATGATCTGAGTAAGAATATTAATAATACATGTATTTCAAAGATTCTAGAAAGAAACTGATATGTTCAATTCAAATTTGCCCACAAATGAATGGTTCAACTCAATTGACACACATGCTACCAAACTTTCAAAGACATTCTTGCACCAAAGTAAGCTCTTCCTGGAGATGCTATTTCTGAAGAAAACAGAACGAGCCTTTAATCTTTCTCATGACATGACTCTAGAAGCAATAGTATTGATCACAAATTACTAAGGGCTGATTCCATCCCAATCTCTCTCTGATGCTGCTGTGATGAGAACGGTCCGGCGGCTTGTGTAGTTATTTAAGAGCATTTTGCTCACTGGCAAATCTCTAGAGCAGCTGGACTAATAGCTATCACACCAGAAGGTGATACAAGTGCGTCCACGAGAACGTCATTTGGAGTTAGTGGTATAGTACCCTCATCCACTATTTGAACTGAGTAAGAAAGTGCAACTGCGGACCAAAGTGAAAAGTTACTATAGAAAGCAAAATTTGTTGCATGTAATCCTGGAAAGAAGCAGACAAAGAGACATACTTTTGAGAGGTTGCTTCCAATTTCGCTTCTCGGCAAGCTCTTGATATCTTGATAAAAAGGTGTCATAGTATCTGTTTTTGTCAAACCATGAAAAACAAAGGATCATCAACAAGAGTACAGAAATGTAAATTTTATTAACGACTCAGCAGGGAAAACCATGTAATTACTCTTCTTGTTATTTTGTTTTTCCTTTTTTCATTAATAGGTCACTCTTCTCTTCCTTTCTTGTACTTCTTCTCTATCTTATCTTAATCAAAACTGTTACTTTTGCAGAACAAGAATAAACAGAAAAAGGGATAAAACCTACCCTCCACCGCGGCCCAACCGTCTTCCAGCTTTGTCAAATGCAAGTCCTTCATGAGAGAAAGTAAATTTATAATTTCCAAAAGCAATATATTTACCAATTATTCCAAGCTTTGAATCATATAGCGTTTCACAAATTAATGACAGACATTAACATACTTACCAGGTAAAATTAACAAATCAACAGGCTCATTGGCGAACAAGACTGCAACAACAAAAAGTCTTTCAGTTACTAGCATTAAGTCCATAATCCCGCGTTTTCACCTTTCAAAGAAAAAAATAAATGTATGTACCAACAAACATATCCAAGATATTAGGTGTAAATCCAAACATAACCCCCAGAAAATGCATCCATTACTTGGTTAGTATTTTAATGAAGTAGGACTCAAAGAACAGCAGATGCTCTTGTTTCTCCATTTTCCGCCTCCTTGTTCGGATAAGTGTAAAATGTGACACTTCTTTCAAGTTTCAACAACAGTACAATACAATGGCACACGAGGAAAAGGTATCAGTTCCAGAGATGCCAAAAGATCTTCTTGTAAACATGAACCTAAACATATATTACGCTCTTTTTCATCTTATACAAATGAACCTGAAAACCTGCTATGCCCCTTTCCATTTGTGTCAGGCATATTATAATCTTTGAAACTCCTCAATCAAAGCAGCCAAAATTCTTTAACGCTTTCACCTTTATTATTCTGTTCATGTGTTGCCAGTGATAGACAATTGCTCCAGTCGTGCTGAGGCACACCCAAAGTGTATACTATATCTAGACTATACATTGAATATGTTTTCGGTCAAAAAGTTCACCAGATAACCATGAGTTTGGGGAGTGGAAATTGCGTTCACAGAGCATATCCTGTTAGCTATAGAAACTAACTAGTTTGGCTGGCATTTAATATTTAAAAGGAAGGGGCATAGTTTCCAAAGGGAGCTCTAGCAACTATTATGTAATTGTAACAACATATATGAGAACAAACAAAAAAAAAGATTCATTTTAAACAAGAAACAGACAACTACATCTAACATGAGGTGTTCCAGATAGTTTATTCAAGAAATGCACTTCAAGGAAGTTATTAAAACATAAAGCAAGGATATCCTAACATAGTAACTACCATTAGAGGATTTTCTGAAATGACACAAATTTCCACACTAAAATACGACGTTGAGACAGAGAATGAAATTGTTCCACATTTTGAACTTATTGAAAGTTAAAATAAAACGAGTTGATTATGTGCATCTACCTATTATTACTGCAGTCAGAACAGTTACAGCAGTGAGAAGAAAAAGTACTATTTGTTACAAAAGAAAAGTAAATGTACCATCTTCGCGTTCATTTCCATCAGCATCTAATGAAGCTGGTTCCAGAATGTTCATTGAATTTGCAATCAAATCCTCAGTGCTTGAAATGTTAAGCATTCGCATGTTTCTGTTCCTATCCTCCACTCTTGGAACAAATAGCTTCTTTCGCATCTGCAAAACCTAATCTTATTTGAAAATGGTAAAAAGAGAACAAGAACTAAGGTCTATAACAAGCTAAACACTTAACAATGAAGAAAAAAAAAACTGAGACTTGTAATAATGTTTCCACCTAGTGCTTCATAAAGAAAAATAGCCTTTCCAATAGTCAGGTATGAACACCGCCTAGTCTTTAGGTAATTAGTTCCTCATTAGTAATTTAGAATATATTAGTATAGAAGTATTTACCATATCAGATATCCAATATAGCATACTCCTTCTATCGATTAATCAATCAACCACGACTCAATCTCAAACTAACTGATGTTAAATAGAATTCCTAGTGATGGCCTATGAGCCTCAGAATTGTTACAAACAAAAGATTTAAACAGAATACTCCTGCCCTTTAACACCCCAAAAATCCCCTAATTTTCAAATGCAATTCTGAAACACACCTCTGAATGGCTACTGAGAATATGAGATAGTATTCGGCTTGTATCTACTTCTCGCAAGGCACTACAGCTTATGTAAGCGCACAATCCCTTGCAAGCCTTAAACCACGGGGCCTCCATTACAATCCTTTGTATAGCTTCATCTAACCAGTCGCATAGAAATCAAAGCATCACTACACGTTCAAAAGGAAAATTAAATCAATGTCTACAACTACTACGTTTATTGAAAAGAAGTACCTTCTTCGGATCTAAGGGTCGGATCCATGGATTTGAGATCTCTTTTAACAACCAAACGGAGGGCCTTTTTCTGCTTGAAAATTGTGTCCAAATGGGCAGGGTCAGAAGTGAAGTTCTGTTCTCCGGCGGTGCTCATGGTGGCAGTGGCGGAACACGGTGAGGTTTGACGGCGGAGTATAGCGGAGCTGGTGGGGAAGAAGCGGCTGGTGGACAGTGACACTGCCCAAGGAATGGTCATCTAATCGCCTCTTGTCCGTTACACACACGCGGTTAACCATTGGAGTAATTTAATATTTTAAAATTACCAGAAGTTTTTTATTATAATATTGATGTATAATCTTTTAAATTTTAAAAGATGATTTGAAAAATGGGTCATAAGTGTTGAGGGTGGATGAAAAAAATATGTTTTTCTTTGATATACTAAAAGCGAGAAGCAAAAACGATTGACATGTAAAAGTGAATGGTGATAGTAATGGTAATAGATTGTGGCTTATTGGCTAGTATAGAACAAATATATTTATAATTATAATTCACATTATTAAATATATTTCTCTTTCTGATCTATCAAAAGAAATCAGTGATTTCTTGGTTACAACTAGCTTAGACTAAAGAACATTTTCTACGTGACAGAACCTCCTTACGAATATATTTTTATGAGGCTAATCTTGAATCGTTATTCAACGCATAAATACCTTTATTTAACCGAATATTTTTTGTGCATAAAATCTCAAATTTAGAATCCTTATAGAGTGAATTATTGAAAAACAAAGTCATGAACTCATAGACTCAAAGTTAAACCGATATCGACTACTCATTTAATATGAACCGAAAATGTATTTTGATAATATTTGGTTGTGTTGATTGACCAATTTCGGAAGGTAGGAACTAATGAGATGATTTTTATATGGATCGTTCGTGAAATAGCGTAGGATTAATTGGCCACATGTTATACCATACATTTTCTCTTTTATAACTACGATGTCGAAGCAAACTAACGTGCACCTTTATTAACTCTATTTACATTATAAATATGGGTTCTTGTTAGTTGTTAAAGTAGGATAAAAGTAAAATGCAATATTTAGTTGTACAAAATAAAATAAAAATATTCATAGTTGTTATTTACATCAAATCATATTAATTTTTCTCTATCGTGTATGCGAGCACCGTTAATTTAGTTAATTCATCCGTCAAGCACTTTCCTATTAATTAGTTAAACAAGAAAGAAAATTTTGAAACTTTTGCATTAGGGAAAACTAACTTCTTTCTTCCTTCTTCACAGATACTAGAGGAAAAAAAGAAAGAAGAGGATGATCATGATTCTGGGGTTTATTTTAGCCACCAAGATCATGATCCATCTCATTTCATTCTTTGCCTTTTGATCATCAATCTTTGTCTTGAATTTTTTTAGGGGTGTTTTTATAAGGTAAAAAAAGAAATGGCTTCGCGATCTTTCAAATGTTTGGTTGAACAAAAGCTTGGGAGAGTTGGGGTTTTCTGTGTATATGCTGTTCTTGAATGGGTGATGATCCTTCTTCTTTTCATTGATGGTTTTCTTGCACTTTTCACCAATGAATTCGCAAAGTTTTTTGAATTGAAAGTCCCCTGCTTGCTCTGCACAAGGATCGATCACATTTTCATAAAGAGGAACTCTAGTTTCTATTACAATGAGTCCATTTGTGAGGGTCACAAGAAGGACATCTCTTCCCTCGCGTATTGTCATGTCCACAAGAAGCTTTCTGATATAAGAAACATGTGTGAAGGGTGTCTTCTCTCTTTTGCAACAGAGAAAGAAGCAGATTGTGATAAGTACAAGTCATTAGTTGGGATTTTGCACAAGGACATTGATTGCTTTGTGGATGATGATAAGAGAATGTCGATAAAATCAGTTAAGAATGAAGAAGAGGCTACCAAAACTGGAAGTGTTGTCATTCGGAACTGTTCTTGTTGTGGGGAACCTCTGAAATTGAGGACTAAATATGTCAGGAACTCATCCATAAATGGAAATCATTATTCTCAAGCTCCTGCCTCATCTCCTCGATCTCCATTAACGTGGAAAAATGAGGAATCGGGAAATATGGAATTGCCTCATATCCAGTACACAAAGCTCAAGTTTTCCTCAGATAATGAATCGATTCTACCAGATGATGAGGGACACCAGAATGCAGGTATCTATTTGTCTCGACTACTTTTGGCTTAAAATTTTATGCATTATCTGTGGTGAGGTGAAAAGAAAAAAGAAGAAAGAAAGAAAGGGGGAAGTTCTTTCATCTTAACTCTGCAACTTTTACAATTAGAGCTTAACATCTATCAACTGTCAGTGTTATACAACTTAAATCTCACAATTATCAAGATGACTAACAATCTCATTCTCTGATAGCGCACGTACAAGACTGTCATTGTTGAAGGGATAGTTATAATATTTGGGGGGGAGGTGTTGAGAGTAAACTAATATTTTCAATGTGTAGCAGGTAAAGAGGATACTAAAGCTGCTACTGCCCCGCTGCTACCAGATCCCGAGGACATACATGATGAATCTTGCAAAACCCCAGTTTCTGCAAGAAACAAGTTCTTTGGGATCCCATTGACAGACTCCGCTCAAGCTAGTCCAAAGTGGCCTAATAAGCCCAGAAAATTGGGTGGTGATAAGAGTGAATTCATCTCAGATGCTAATGACACGAGTGCAGTAAATGAAGCAGATGATGACATCCTGCATAGCTTGAAGAGGCAGGTTCGTCTGGACAGAAAGTCTCTTATGGAATTATACATGGAATTGGATGAAGAAAGAAGTGCCTCTGCTGTGGCAGCAAACAATGCCATGGCCATGATCACGCGTTTGCAAGCAGAGAAGGCAGCAGTACAAATGGAAGCCTTACAGTATCAGAGAATGATGGAAGAGCAGGCAGAATATGACCAAGAGGCCTTGCAAGTCATGAAAGACTTGGTTTTAAAGAGAGAGGAAGAGATAAAGGTCTTGGAGGCTGAAATGGATACCTACAGGGAGAGATATGGAGTTATCAAGAAAGTCGGTAGTGAGGTCTGTGAAGTTGATGCAGATGATGATTATCAAGAGTTGAGGTCTCAGTCTGCATCATCCTTCGATGAAAGATCCGACTGTAGCAGCCCTCGTGAAGTAGATCATAATGGAGTAAACGAGTTCCATATTGAACGTCCTGGGGAATACAGAGATGAAAATGTTGATGAATCAAACCTTGATTTTGAGAACGAGAGATCTTATCTACAGGGTTTGTTAGCAAACCTTGAAAAGAAGATCAAAATACCTCCCGATGTTGAATCTCATGTGCTAGAATCAAATGTTATTCAAGACAAAGGTACATATGAGTCTTTGCTTTCCCTATTTACCAGCCTTCTTTTTCTTTTCATTCTTGGTGAAAGTAAAGACTACAGATACTAAATGTCAAGTTTTGTTTTTAGGAAATGACAATAAGGTTATACTTACAAGAGAAGTTTCTCTACTTAGAGAGAGATTGAGAGCTGTTGAAGCAGAAAGTGGCTTCTTGAAACACGCCGCCATGACATTACAGAGGGGCAGGGAAGGAACCAAACTCTTGAATGAGATAGCTCAACATCTGCGGGAACTTAGATACACCAATACAGCAACAGAAGTTGCAGATGCATGACTTCTGTCCAAAAAGGTGATTCTTCCCTAGTGAGTTCTCTTCTTAAGTGATACTCTAATGTACTAGAATTTCTTTAAAGCGGCGAAATGATAAGATTTAGAAAGTTATGTCGTTATGTGTGGTGTAAATTTTCCAAAGATGAGTGTTCAAGAGCTACAGAATCATCCATATTCTCCCTTTAGCTAAAATTTAACTCCAACCATAAACTTGTTGGTCGTGTTTTCAGAAATCAATTTTTGCATTTATGTTTCATGTCAATTGTCAGTTCCCTCATCACTGGAAGCTTAATGCTCCTAGAAGTCTGCAGAACATTGCTGACAATTTTTTGTGGTCGCGCTCTTAAGCGCCTGGTTTACCAAGATGCTGCTACAACCAACTTGAATATTTCATAGGTAATTGAATTTGAGAACACAAGTGTATCCATTCATCATTTCCATTTAGTGTTGCAATTTAACTGCTAATTGCAGCAGGAGTCAGTAATGTAACAAGTGTTTTTTGCAGTTCTCTTTTTTCTTTTCCTCTCTCCTGTTCTTCTTCCACATTTAGGATGTACAGTCTAAGAAGGAGCCCTGAGGGCTTCAGCTTTGGCATTTCCTCAGAGCTTTACTTCTCATTACCTAGAGGCTTGAGGTTCTTCAGGTAATATTCTATTGCATGCTAGTATATCCACTAGGCATAAGCCAGTTTCTTTCCAAATTTTGGAAGGAAAGTGAATACATATTGGGATGTGTTAATATCATTCTGCAATGGACCAAGTAAAGGATCCAAAGAAAATGATTGCTTTAAACATCTACTTTCTTGATAAGAATTAACTGTATGTTCTACATTTGATCCTCCTATTTTAAAGTATTTTTCTCCCAAAAGTATACTACTTCTAAGCTTTTGTTGAAAAGGTATATGGCTTAATATGCAAACACTTGATTTACAGGTAGTGATTAATACTGCTTTTTGCAGGTGAAATTGGCTTGGAACCAGACAACTTTGAAATAATCCAGCAAAAGGCATTATGGATTCACAGGAAGACTCTAAATGAGAAACGAACAACTAGTTTTGTCTAATGTAAATGCATATAGATGGTTATATATTTGTAAGATATCCACCTCCCTTGACCATCTATTTTAGACTTGTTGTTTCATCAGATGCTACGACATGAATTTCATTGACAGCAGTTGTACTTGTACACACATGCTTGTTTAGCAGATAATGTAACTTAGTCATTCATTAAACGAGCACAGTGGAAGGTGTGAGTGAGCATATAATGGTCCTAATCCTCTCATGCATTACTTATCTTTCTTTCCCACTCAGAGACATTTATTTGGTTCTCAAAGCCTCAATTTACTAGAATCTTTTCTTTTTTCCATTTTCATTTCCTCTTTTATATGAGGGGATGAAATACTCCGTCAAAACATAATGCTAACGCCTTGATAAGAGCTGGCTATAGTACCAATTTAGGCTTCTGGACCAAAATCATACTTTAGACAAGCTTCTCCAACTCCTCAAGGCTTTCATCAGAGAAAGCCACAGCAGACGAGGATACAAATCAAGTACACTGACTGTGCGTCAAGCCATCATAAATGGTAGAGCAACCGATGCTAGGATGACCAGAAATTCCAAAATAACAAGATGACTCCAACAGATTAAATT